GCTGCAGGCACTGGGGCTTTCCCGCTGTGCGGGTGCCCGCCCGCTTCTCTGCGGGGCCGCCGGGACTCGGGCCTGGGTTGTGGGGAGGGAGGAGGGGAAAGCCCCCTCCCCGCCCGGCTCTGTGCTGCGGGTAGCTGGCGGTCGGACCGGGCCCCGCGTTGCCGGCGGAGGGAGGCGGTGCGGCCGGAGGCGCAGCCCAGACGTCTCCGACTTGGGAGTCCAGTTTTGAGGGGAAAGAATCCCTGAAGCGGGCCGGGCTTGCAGGAGTTAACCCCTCAAGGGTTTATTAAACCATTCAAAGCAGAGAGTGCAGGGGCCAGGGGCTTCACCTGTCCTCAGGCCCCTTCACCTGTCCTCAGCCTTTCTTTAGGGAAGAGGAAAACCTAAAAGAGGTGGTATGAGCAGTGCTGCCAGACCCACGCGCAGCTCCTCACAATACGCACAGAACAGGACTGGCAACCTCTGCTCCCTCTGAACTAGGGATGCAGTTGGGTCCCCTTTTAAGGTTTGCTCTGTGGAGATCGGAGCAGAGGCGTGGGATCCAAGAAGTTCCAGTTCCTAGGTCACTTGATCTCCTGGTACTTCAGTCAACCCTTGCAGAAAATTGTAGGGGAGGAACAGGACTTCACCAGCCGTAGGTGCTGTCTCAATGAAGCTTTTCCCAGCAAGAAATTTTAAAAGCATATTGAGACTTTCATGCTTTTCAAACCATCCTTCTGCTCAGGAAATGGATCTTAAGGAGGCTTCTAGTTGTTGGCACTCTAGTACCCTCCTCCAAAGCATTAGCAACCTACTACTGTCTGAAGCTGAAATACCATCCAAGGAAATCACATCTTTTAGAAATCGTAGAATGGATCATATTTGGTAAAATGAAAGGTTGCCTTTGCCAAATGGGCATGTTACCAGAATTAATTTTGCATGGATGTCACAAAACTGCAATTAGAAGAGCAGAAGAAAAATGGGTATAGATGAATATCAAAAGGGAACTATGAGGTCAAGACCTTTTTTTATCTGTATGACTGTACTATCATACATCCTGGGAAACAGGACCCCCGCTCAACCCTAGGCCCCAGGCCTGATAATCTGATATTAACATGTAAAATATGGAGTTCAGTTTAGTATACCCAGTATATTCTTTAGAGAATTGAAGATATTTATGGGGTGGGACTATACCTCTGTGCAGAAAATTATGAGTTTTTAGAACTCTTGATTTTGACCCACTTATGCCTATGCCATGATTGTGTAGTCTTTTTTTTTAATATGAAGGATAAGATCCTGTAAAGAGTAGTCCTGTTGATCTGTGTGCAACAGTTCCTGTCAGCAAAATTGCTCAGATACATGTAAATATTTGCAGGGCCTAAAGTTGAGAGTTCTGGCTCCAGGACATGGCAGTCTATATAGCATCATTTTGCAAGAGAGGCTGAAAGCACTCATATCCCATTGCAGAGAGTAAGAACAAGAACAGCTGAGAAACTTGTAAGTTCCTCTTTGATTGAGGGATAAAAAGGAAGAGAAATTGGACAGAAAGGAGGGGGAATAATAAAATAATGTGGAGAGAAAAAAAATCCCTAAGACACTGAAGAGTACATGATAAGGGTGGAGAGGAGCTAGAATGGTTGTATTATGTACAGTATTTTTTAATGTGTTGGCTATGCTTTAGAGGAAACCCTGTTTCAAATATGCTGTCAGTATTATTGACCCTCTTGACTGAGAATGGATCTTAGCACAGCAATATTTTTGTAGGGCACCAACATGCCTAAAGTAACTCTGCTGTTGATCACTTAACTGGCATCAACTGAAACAGATCTGCCAAGTATCTTATATCTTGCATGACACAACTTGTCACAGCTACCAGTGTTGGCAAAATGTCAAGAACTATTAAAGATACCTTCATTCTGACCTTTCCTAACTTTTAAGTACTTAACTTTGTGACCTTGACATTCTCTCAACATGGATTTGTTTGACTGGTTATGTAACATTACTGGGGAAAAGTGCCTTTGATAATGGCTAGTGAGCTACAAAGCCTTTCATTTGCAGCTTCCTAGTCTGAATGTAACTTGGCTTGGTAGGGACCAACAGCTGTTTCCATCTAATGGATATTTGGTGGGTCCCTGCATGAGGTGAGTTTAGAGGGTCTCCATTCCATGTCTAGCATCATAAACACACCATTACACTTTGCATGAAATTATCCCTCAGCAGAGGGGCCATGAGCTGCACTGGATATGGAAATTGATCTACATTTGTTACTTTTCACTGAAAACTTTCACTCCGGGAACCATACTCCTGAGAGCAAAGTAAAAGCAAGCATGACACATTGTGCTGCATCTAGCCACAAAGAGGCCTTTGGGGAAATAGCTGCTGGCTGTTGGTCTTTAGAACTTCTACAGTTCCTCCCCCCTCCCCGCCTACAACTATAAAACACTTTGACAAGAATCTTAAAAAATATATTTGCAATTGAGTGATTCTCTTGGACCCATGAAGAACCACTTCAAGAGTGATTACTGTGCCACTTGGACCATGAATGTGTTGTTTATTTTCTTTATAAAAATGCCAAAGGCCAAAAAGTCATGTTTCACTCTTTTGTAGTGAGTTTAATTAGAAGTGCCAGGCAGATCTCTAGAAAGCAAAATTCAGTTTAGTCACAAAGAAAATTAATCACAGGCAGCTGCAGTACTAGCTTCACTGCTTCACTCTGCCAGTGAATCAGAAATTGTAGTGTTCCACATAGCTGAAGAGTTTGAAGTACAATGGAAATTTTAATTCTATCTGACTAGAGCCAGAGAGCTTTATCTGTTGGCAAATTATTCAGTCTGAAGTGGGGGAAAAGAGTTCCTAGTAGCTATCTTTTTCCTAGTTTGTTCCTTCCTGAGTAAGAACTACAAGATTTGGACCACAACTGGATAGCATGCATGATACCATTTGTTCACTGATATGAAATGCAGTTTGCTTACTGTTGCATTGTTATCAAAGATAAAAAGCAATAAGCAATTCTTCAATAGAATTTTAAAATCTTAAACCTCTGATTTAGGAACGATAAATGTCCATGTAAACAAGTCTCATTTTTCATCCAAACATCTGTTTGAGTTTTGTGCAAAAGTTTGAAGGTATATAAGAATTAGATTTAAACCAAAATGCTCTTGCAGATCCACACTGTGAGTTACCTACAACTTCCCTCATTTACTGTTATCAGAAATGCTTGCATTAATTTATGATGTGTTTATGACATCAGGTTCATTTCCATAGCGAACAATTATAATATCTTAAAAACCAGATTGACTTCAGGGAGGAAGGACACAGCAGGAGCAAATGAACTGTTAGGGTCCTATCCAGTAGAAATTATCTACAGCATTCCATGCTCTAAAGAATAAGTAAGACCAGAGATGCTTGCTGTGCAGTAGATCAGCATATCCAGGTTGGTACATAACAGGTGATGAGCCTGTAAGTGGCATAGACCAACACAAATGCTAGTAGGGAATTGTCCTAGGCCAGGGAATTACAGCTTATAAACTGTGGCTGTATCCATAACTGAATTTAGGATCCAGCCAATAATATAGATGTGTAGCCTATGCAAATGGATCCTTTCTAAGAAACATGGCTAAAGTTATCTTCTATGTATGTTCAGAACCTGACCTTCAGACTCTTATTATTTAGTCTGGTCAAAACAGATTACCTCCAGAACATCATCACATACTGATTCCTGATGAAGGATATTTCCACATCACCGTGATTTTCAGTTTTCAACTCTCAGCCATTTTTTGGCTGGAAAAATTCTTCCAAATATATTTAATGTTTGCAAATGTCTGAGCAAACATTAAATAGAAATGTTAAATATAAATGTCAAAACTCTAGAATAAAAATTCACCTTAATGCCAAATTTGAGCCTTCAGTTTCAAAAGTGAAAGTTCAAGAAACTTATGAGCAATTACCTGGGGATGGTTAGAAGGGAATTTTTTTTTTAAATGCAGCTAATTTGAGAGCTACTATTATAATACTGTAGAAGTATTTTTAATATTAAACTTTCCAGGTGTAGGTATCATTGGATTCATTTTTTTACTTGCTTTTTGTTCATTTTTAAAAACATTGTGATTCTAAAAATAATATGTTACACTGGTAATCTACTTTTAAAAATTCAGGTGACAATTTTGAAAGCACTTCAGTATAGGGGTAAAACAGACCAGGGCTGAAGTCTATAGAAAAACACACTCAAAATTAGGTAGTTAAATGGGCTGAATGTGCCTTCTAAGATGTTTGGTTCTTTCAGCGTCAGGGTTTAACTCCTATGAGAAAGCAACCTGACCTGTCCTACCTTACCTTCTAACCTCTGATCTGTCTGATCCCTGGATATCCTCTCCTGGATTTACTGATAACTTGGAACTTATTGCATGGCTTTGATGTAATTTAAGGCTGTCATGCTTCTAAATAAAAATAACTTCATTAATGAGTGTTGATAATGAAACCAGTAGCTTGAGCTTCTTTCTTGTCTCATGTCTCTGTTAAAACATGCAAGTGTATTGTTAAAAATAACTTAACTCAAAGAGGAAATTAGTTGTACTTCAAACACATAGTTACATTGTAATATGAAACCAAGCTGCCACTTTTTGCTAAGAACTGCAGGAATACTTTCAAACATCATCTTCCTAGTGGCTGTGCCTAAGACATCGTGGGCACGTGTACACATTCATTAATGCGCTTTATGTAATGTGCATTCGATCTAAGTTCTAACGGTAGTGATGAGCAAGTGCAGGGACTGTTGTTGGGTTGGTTCCTCCCCTATACATTCATAACACTTGAAGATTATAATTACATGCAAAATAAAGTTTTATTTGAAAACATTTATTACCAATATAATTTTATTTTTCTGTGTAATTTAGACTTATTTCTTTCTACATCCTATTTTTGACTTTTTCAAGATGGGCATCTCATGAACTATGGATACAAAACTGCTACTGCTGCTGCTACTAGTACTTGTTTAGCATATTTTGCCTGAAGGATCTCAAGTTGGTTTACAAATGATGGATAACATTCTGGTCACCCTCCATACTGAGATGCCTATTTGACTGCACCACAGGTGGCAATAAGACTAGCTTCTGCTTCTTCCCCCTCAAGTAGCTTTTGTTCTTTCTTAAGATTGCTGCCATTTTTCTATCGTTCTGCGTCATAAGGTACGGACAAATGGGAATGGAATTGGGTGGGGCTAAACTGAAAGCAGATATTTCACCTGTTCCATTCAACACCTGCTTGCCTGGTGGCATTTTCTCTTTTTTCCCCTCTCTCTCTTACCTTGGCTGTTCCATCCTCCCTTAGTAAATCTTATTCCCTTTTCCTTTCTCTTAGGGGCTCATGGTTCAGATATTGGGCCAGATCATATGGTCCGAATGAGCTCTGCTCAGCTCAAGACTGGAAGAAGTAGAGTAGAAGTGACTCAAAATTATTATTTTATTCTTCTGATTCTGGGGAGAAGTGAATATTGGTCCAGATTCCTATGTAAATTACAGCAAGCAGGGGACTTCTCTAACATACTATTTCTCATGGTGCCAGAAGTCTGCATTAGAGGCCAAGGGTGGCATAGGCAGAGGCATTGTTGGACTGTTCTATGCCCTGGACAGCACCAGTGCATGGAGCAGCAGCCATAGCCAGGCTGTCAGTGCAGCAGTCAGCTGCTATTTGTTTTTTGCACCCTCCAAAAGTCTGTGCCTGGGGCTACTGTCCTAGTTACCCCCCATCCCCTTATTTACACTAATCAGCATAGGAGCAACTGCAGGGGAAATCCAGGAAGCTAGCTTTATGCTGCAGCAGCTGGGCAAAGAAGTCAGAGTAGACCTCAGTCTGGCCTATTGGCCACAATGGAATTATTCCTGTATGACATGGTTGCAAGACTAGAATCTGGCTCTAGTCCAGGACAGAATTAAAACTTCCATTGTATTTCAAACTCTTTAGCTATGTAAATCACCACCGTTTCTGAAGGTCTAACTACTGACTATAAAGACAATTAAAATATAGCTAATACCATTTCATAGAGGTCATTCCAATAAATAATGTATTGATTCTTCAGCCAATTATTTGCAACTTTCCCAAAAGAAGTCAGATCAGCCCCTGGTTACAGGGACACTTTTAAGTACTCAATTTTTTGCTAGTCCTTTGGGTTGCACTGAGGTCACTTTTCATTGTACTGATTCCTCTCCTCTGTTTGAATGGGAAAATTATCAGTAGTTTTATATATTTTCAGCAAAAAATTGTGAGTTATATGTTCCATCCAACACTGACTGCAGCTGGTTTTTTATGGTAACATTTTACAAATTCCTCACCAGTGAGCTCATTAGTATAAATGATGGAGCCTCACCTCAGATTTCAAGTCAGCAATTTTCCTCTGATACCGAGCAGGCTGTTTTTCTTCATAATACATTGATGGAGGAATTTAATCCACAGAGTTGGCAAAATATAACCTTCTGCTCTTACAAGCAAAGATGAGCAGAGGGCAGCAGATCTATGTCTGGAAAGAAGTAGTTCTTATTATATTATACTTCTCTTGTCTGTTAACATTGTAGCTATCTATGTCTTCTGAGAATCAGAACCTGGGCAGGAAGTACATGTGACGGGTGAGAGAGACAGCCTCTCTAATGGGCATTTATAACTTATCTGAGCAGTTGTCATGGGGGAAAAAGCTAGTGCTAAATAAAAGGATGGGCAGCTGCCAAAAAAAGCCATGGCATGGTACATTATTTATGATACACAATAAAAGCATGTATATTAAATTGCTACAAATAAGACATTAGCATTTTTCAGTAAAGCATCGCACTAGAACTGGACCCATAAATTATAGAGTTACTCTAGGATCTCCAGTGCTGGCTTTGGGAAATGTCTCCCTACCATAACTTCCAAAAGGCAGCAGAAACATTAAAGGCCTGATTGTGTTTCCACTAAAGATGGTGGCAAAAGCCCTGCTGATCTGGATGTAGAGGAACAGGACTTTGGCTAGAAGGGACTTAGAGTACCAGCCGTAAGAGTCTGACTGGATAATGCTGGTTGGGAACCAATTATCTAAGGATAGAAAAAGTCATTGCCTTTGTGCCACCATATAAAAACAAAATTATAGTGGCACAAAGGCCAAGCAAACAAATGTCCCATTCCCCTTTTCATACCACAAATACCCAAAATATGTGGCTGTGACAAAGGTGGTAATAGTTTCTTCTGCTTTATTGCAGCATACAGTTGTTTAGTTTAAAGTTCAACAGTGTAGGCAGTCCAGAGATGCCTGTGCTTTCCAGTTGCCTTGGGTAGGTGCTCTTGGGACTTGAGGCTGATCCTGTATGCCCTGTGAATTCCTGAGCAGAATCGGGCCCGTTAGCCCCTGGAAACCTGCCCAGCTTTCCCCTCTGAAAGAGATACATCCCAGATAATCTCTGGGACATCTCTCTATGAGAGAGGAAAGCTGAGGTTTCCCATCTGTAGAGATGTATCCCTGGCAATCCCACAACAGCTGATCCATTTCATTGGTGACATCTGTTTACACCCTAAGTTCTTATGTCTGTAAAGCAACTTGAACTTAGGCCATGTACAGATATTCCATTTTTCTGAGAGAGTTGTTGCTTTCCTAAGAAAAACCACGAGTGTGTAGATGTTCATGACTTTTCTCCCACAGCAAAAATGGCCACACCTAGAGAAAAATAACCTGGGAACAACTAGGGTTAAATCACTCCCAGGAGAGTTTCCCCTGAGACAGCAAATGTCTTTACCCTACCAAGAGAATCCATGGCACAGCACAGCTCTCTAGTATCCCAGAATGCTTTGTTCTCTCCTCAACCCTGTCACCCCTGGGAGGCAGTGTGTCATTTGGGATGGATTCTACTACTTCATCCAAGCAGGAATCAGAACATGGCCCCTTCACAATTTCACATTGTGCTTCATGGAGACACAGGCTGACTCTGAGCAGTCTCAGTCAACCAACCAGGGGCTGCCCTATGCCCCATTGCCATCTGTGACAAGGCAGACTGAGGGAGTCTGCAGAGCATGCTGAGATGTATGCACAGTGGCCTCCTGGCTGTGCAGCATCAGCACTCCAAGCTCTCTGCTCTTTGGGGGCTTAGCATTCAAATGTCTGTTCAGGTGTCTCTGAATAAATTTTTCTACCAAGAGAACAAATGCAGGAGAAGTCTCCCAAGTCATTTGAATATGTGTATGCAATATACTAGGGCTGTGCGAAATTTCGCCAGCTGTTTTGTTTCAACACTGTTTCAACTCATTTTGAGCTCAAAACAGTGAAATTGAAATGAAATAAAGGGCTTTAAAACAGGCTTGAAACAAAATGAGGCTAGTTGAAACATTTCAAAATTTTGAAATGTTTTGAGTTTTGAAGAAGCCAGCAGCCAGGTGGTGGGAGACAGGGGAGAACCAGGGCTGCGCTCCCAGCAGCTCCGCAGCCCCGTGTCGCTCAGACAGGCAGGTAGTGAAGCCCTGGCTCTCCCTGCCTCCCGTGGCTGAGCTACGGGAAACCGATTGCAGCACAGGGGAAGGGAACTGAGCCCGGGCTCAGTTCCCCTCCCCAGCACTATGATCAGAAAGGGAAAGGGAACTAAGCCCCATCACTCAGTTCCCCTCCCCAGCCCTATGATCAGGCTGGGGAAGGCAATTCAGCCCAGCTGAGCTGAGTTCCCCTCACCAGTGATACAATGAGGCTGGGGAGGGGAACTGAGTGATTAGGCTCAATTCCCTTTCCCAGCTCCCCAGTCCCAGGCGGCAACACCCAGCTTCCCTCCTTCATCTGGCAGGCAGATTGGGGGCCTGCAACCCCGGGAGGACACAGCCCCCGCAGCCCTCCCAAGGTTGGGCCCCAATCTACCTGCCAGATGAGGAAGGCTGTTTCAAGCTTCCCCATTATAGTTTATGGGCAAAACATTGAAACAGCATCCAACGAAATGGAACGGTGGTTTTGAATCGAAACAAAATTTTAAACAAAATGTTGTTCCATTGAAACCTCGAAATACAAGTCAAAATGGAACGGTGCTGTTTAGCACAGACCTACAGTATACGTCATAGACTCCACTCTATTTTTTTGTGCTACTTTCTTACTAACGTGATATATTTCTCTTGTTATAGTACATTCAAATGAACAAGACAAACACCTGAGGCTCCTATACACATGCAAGGAGCCTACTCTGATGCACTGGAAATACAATGCATCAGAGCTGATGGCTAGAAAAATGCTATTTACAGGTTTGCTTTTGGGAACTGGCTTGTAGGTAAAGTAGGTATGTATTAGAACAATGGTCCAGGGCAACAGCAAGAGCTAACTGATTTCTGAAAACCTATTTGTGTTTTCAAGACCCACTGTCTGACACAGGCAAGCAGGAAGCTAACACGCAGGCTGGGAAACTGAAGACGTACCATATTCCTGGGAAATTGAAGACATGTTCCATAACATGAGATAAGGTGACACCAGGTCACAGTGCCCTTGGGATTTCCAGTTTTGGGGAACAGACCAAATTTGGAGAAACTGAAAAAACACAAATTAGGATGTGTGCATGTGACGGGTTTCTGAAACAAAGGAATATGTTGACAGGACAGAACGTAGACAATATGACAACCACAGGGAAACCAATCAGTGATGTCCAGAGATGAAGAGACATCAGGAGAGGGAAAGAATATAAAAAGAGGGATTGCAGAGCAGCAAAGTGTCCTCAAGAAGAGAACCCGACAGCACCATGGTCAGAGGGCATATAAGCAGCCTTGGGCCTTTGCCTCCAACCTCCAAGCTGTTGACATCTGGCATTCAAGAGAGAACCTCAGAGTAAAGCTCACATACTGGCCAGATGTACCTTGACTCTGTGAACCCTGGGACTGGTAGATATAGAATTGTTTGCATTATTCCTATCTGCATTCACTGTATAGCAATAAAATTTGTATATTTACGAATTGAGAGGTCATAGTTGGCCTGACGGTTTGGGTCTGCCCAGGACAAAGTATCTGGGTCATAAATTGAGTGCTAACAGGAACAGACTCAATTAATCAGTCTACTGGAGCACAGAAATTAATACACTCCAGCAGACTCAAGCCTCACATGTATCATCCCCATGCTGAAAAATGGCAGCGGGGCACTAAATGAGCTGCCAAAAGTTCAAAGTGCCCCACCACCACTTTTTCAACATGGGGATGCTGATACACAGGACAATTGGGTGCTTTTAATTAGTGAGACACACTAATTAAAGCGCTCCCCACGCACATATAAAAATGCCCCATCTGTGTAGATACCAACTTGTTCATACTTCACCTTGTGCTTAGGTTTAAAAGCACCATGATAGCCATTAAGAATGTGATATAATTCTGATTTTTTTTCTTTTAATGTCATAATACGCAGTATTTATCCAACTCCAAAACAAAGGCACTTGCCAAGGAAATTGTATTTGATTTATTATGTTCCAGATTCTAAAGTATAAGCACATCTAGTATTTTACAATATTGTCTTCAGCCCAAAAATAGGGGCTGACTCCTTCAGTCCTTAATCATGAAAAATATTCCCTGATTTTAATGACAGAAGGGATCACTCTCATCCTTGCTCCCACACGCTTCCTGAAAGTAGCATCCAAAGTACATTGTACACAATGCTTCTGAGTGACTGCACTCCCCCATGGGCCCTCAGGCAAGCAGTGGCTTAAACCTGCACAATGTAGTGACACTGTAAGAGAAAATACTCTTGCTACAACCTAGAGAGACTGGAGTTCTATTAATATGCAATTTTATAGTAAACTACTAAGAAAATATGAACACTTACTTTCTACATTTGAGCAAAAAAACCCAATTAAAATAAATGCCTAAATATTTAGTCTACATTTTTTCAAAACTGGCTGCATTCAGTCTTTAAGAGGTGGCACAAGTGGCACTTAATGTATATTCTTACTACTCTTTAGGACTCTTTTTGCTTACGTGAAGGCTCTTCCACAGTTACGTGATAAGGGTTTGTACAATGGGTGTGAATTACACCAAATCAAATTAGTGTGGAGATGTCTTTATGTACACAGGAATCAGGCCCTGTACATGGGACTTGTACCTATATTGATACAAATTCTGTGTTCTGAAAAAAACAGTTTCAGGCTAGGGCACTCACAAAAATAAAACATGTTTAATGTTCCTATAAATATACCCATAATGTTTACCTAAAGTCTTTGTTACTTTGGCAACACAACCTGATGATCTTGAAGCTAAAAAGATGATAATTGTCGTTTTGATTTTACTGCAGGGGGCAAAGACTGAGTTACAGAGGAGTTCAGTGATTTGCCCAGTAATCAGCTATAGAACTGGATCCCCCAACCTGTGGTCTTCACTCTGTTAATTCATTTTCTCTCACCCCGGAATCTACAAACCTGGAAAAAAAGGAATCAGAGGTACTTGCGGTTCCTGCTTCAATGAGAT